TCAAATTTCTTCTGTTTACCTGATTCATCCTTCTGGCTGGCTGATCTCATAATCTTAAAAAATGGCAGGCATTTATCTGCTGACTTCGATATGAACCAATGAAGAGCTACTACCCTCCCAGTCAACCTCTGTATATCTTTCACTGATTTTGGTGGTTCCATCTCCGCAATTGCTCTGATCTTCTTTGGATTGACCTCAATCTCTCTTCGGGACACCATGAATCCTAGAAACTTTCCAGACTCCACACCGAAGATGCATTTGGCTGGGTTTAACCGCATTCTGTTCTTTCTGAGGTTGTTGAAAGTTTCGTCGAGGTCAACTAGGTGGTCTTCTGCTTTCAGGCTCTTTACTACAATGTCATTGACATAAACTTCCAGATTCTTGTCGATCTGAGCGTGGAAGATAATGGTCACCATTTTCTGATAAGTAGCACCCGCGTTCTTTAAGCCAAATGGCATCATGACATAACAATAGATTTCATCGCTAGCATAGAACCAGGTTTTCTCTTCGTCTTCTGGAGCGATCGGCACCTGATGATATCCAGAATATACATCCAAGAGACTTAATCTCTCCTTGCCTGAGGCTGCCTTAACCAGCTTATCAATGTTTGGCATTGGATAACAATCTTTTGGACATGCGTCGTTGAGGTTAGTGTAATCAATACACATCTGCCATTTACCATTTGCTTTTTTCACCAGCACAGGATTGGCGACCCACTCACAGTAATCGACCCTTCTGACAAAGCCAGCTTGTAGGAGTTTTTCAACTTCTTCTTTAATGACCTGTAACCTTTCCCCCCCAAAGAGGCGCCGCTTCTGGGCCACTGGTTTCTTGAGTGGATTGGTGCTGAGTTTGTGTTGAGATATCGAGGTGGGAATTCCTGGCATGTCCGCTGACGTCCATGCAAAAACATCTTTGTTAGCTCAGAGAAAGGTTATCAGGTCTACTCTCTCCTCAGGACTGAGTCAAGTTCCTATTTGTGTTTTCCTGGTCGGATCTCTGTCATCAATCTACACCTCCTCAACCTCTTCACCCGGAGCAGCTCAGGTCTCAGTCTCAGGTCGGTTATCAAGGATTTCAATCCCCATGACTTGTTGATTATTAGGAATCCGTTGGGGGACGGCCTTGGGTATCTGATCTTTGCCCTTCTTAGGTTGTGTGACCGAGGTGATATAGCAATGTCTAGCCACTTCCTGGTTGCCGTGTAGTGTTGCGATTCCCATAGGAGTTAGGAACTTCCTGCAAAGGTGAGATTGGGAAACCACAGCTCGGATTTCAGTCAGTGTAGGTCGGCCAATAACAACGTTAAAAGAGGACACCATTTTGACCACTAGAAACCGGACTGAAGGGGTCACATAGGTTCGACCACTCCCAAAAGTAACATGGAGAGTAAGAACTCCTTCTACCTGAACCGGCTGGTTGTTGAAACCATAGATGGGACCATCATATTTCTGCAGCAATGTTGGATCCAAATCAAGACTCTCAAAACAATGGAAATACATGATGTTTGGTGCACTCCCGGTGTCAACAAGGACACGTTGTACTTCACAGTTGTTAATTATGACAGAAGTGACCAAAAGGTCATTGTGGGGTGTAACAACTGTGTCGAAATCAGCAGATGTGAAAGTAATGGGTTGATTCTTCCAGTCATCGTCGTCAAACTTCCATTTCTGAGCTCGGTTTTGATGCTTGACCTCTCTGACATACAACTTCCTTTGCTTGGAGCTCATCCCCCCTGCTTCCAATCCTCCTGTAATCATGTGTATAATTCTGGCTGGTGGTGGAAGAGGAGGTGGGGCTTGTTGATATCCCACTCCTTGCCTGTTTGGTGGATTACGGGGTCCTTGAGGCTGTTGCCCCTGTTCTCTGACAAATCTTGGCTGTTCGGCTCTCTGGATGTACTCATTCAACATTCCTTTCTGAGCTAGGCTTTCCAGCTCGAACCTCAGACTGTTGCACTGCTCTGTTGTATGACCATGATCTTGATGAAAATCACAATATCTGGTATGGTCTCGGCTAGTAGCAGCAGTTTTCTTTGGACCGGGACGCCTTAAGTCCATTTTGTTCTTAATCTGCATGAAGATTTGTGACCTTGGTAAGTTAAAAGGGGTCCAAGTGACTGGGGGTTTACCTGCAGACTGTTGTGGAGGTGCTAAGTTCGGCCTTCCGAATCTCAGTGTGGAGGTCGACATCGGACCTCGGTTCTGTGCTGCCCTCATCCGTTTCCTGCTTGGATTCTCATCTCTCCAATCCAAGTTTTGGTTCTTAGAGGGAGCTGGGTTCTGTGACAGGGCATATTCCTCAGCAGTTATGAATTTCAAAGACACATTATTCACCTCGCTAAAGGTGGTGGCAAGGTGTTTGAGCAAACTATCTCTGAATCTCTCATGGTTAAGACCTGAGATCACAATTGTAATTCCCACAGCCTGGTCGAAGGAGTTAACTTTCAGTACTGCATCATTGAATCTGCTCATATAATTCTTCAAAGATTCTCCTTTCCTCTATTTAATCGCATCAACTCAGAAGTAGTTTTCCTTATCAGCCTTCTGCTGGAAAACTTTATGGCAAAAGCAGATGCCATTTCGGTATAAGAGCTGATTGACCTTGGAGGTAGACTGTAATACCAGGTTCGAGCATTACCTCAGAGAGTCGAGGGAAAGATTTTGCACATCAACGCGTCAGAGGCATTCTGGGCTTGCATGCAAGAGTAGAAAGCATGTAGATGATCATCGGGATCTTTCGTCCCATCATAAGTTTCAAGTTGTGGTATCCTGAAGCCAGCGGGGTAGGGTTCCAGTGTGATGTTGGTGTTCAGAGGGTGGGATATGGAGCCAGCAGCATGGTGTAGAGGTGGGGCACCTCGCTGTTCAGCCACTAGCTTTTCTAAGCTATCTAGACGTCGAGTGACATCATCATGAAGGGGTTGCTGAACTGGTGCGATGTGAGATTGGCCCTGAGATTCACTAAGAGCGGGAGCATGCTGAACTGGTTCAGGATTTTGTTGTGGAGCTGGGGGTTGTGAAGCAGGGTTAAGTAGATGGATGAAGGGATCACCAGGGTTGTTCCTGGCTAAGAACTAAGCCAATACTAGCTGAAAAACACCAAACTATTGTTGCATGGTAGCGAGCTGAGCTGCAACTACGTCTTGGTTGGCAGTAGAGGCTGAGTTATGAGCCGAATTGTGTGGTTGGTTTTCATCTCCTCCTTCTACATGATCAACAGGAGGGAACGCATTTGGTATCTGAGGTGGAAGCTGAGGTGGAAGCTGAGGTGGGAGCTGAGGTGGAAGCTGAGGTGGGAGGTTGCTGGGGACTTGACCTTGTCCAAGAGGCTGAGACAAGTTTCCAACTCGGACTGACCGAGTATTAACCATCATGAAAGAGCAACAAGAAAGCTTTCAGTTCGGATTCCCACAAACGGCGCCAAATGTAATTGCACCAAACCAAGAGTCCTTCTTCAGTCTGCGTCTTCACTTCGGATGAACCTGCAAAGCCCCGAGATGGGTCCTCGGGGTAGACACTCCAATGCTTAAGTCAGCAATAATCGGAGCTACCTTTAGAGCAGAGATAAAAGGAGCTTAGGGTTGGTTTCAATTACCTTTTTGACGTGGCCCCTGGGGGGTATTTATAGGATCCAATGAGGAACCCACGTGGTATGCCAAGCAAGATAATCGGAGCCTGACGTGTCTATCCAGACGATTATTCCGGGACCGGGAATTTGAGAGATATTCAGATGCAAGGATATCCATCATAACTACTGTGTAGCTCATCATAAGGAATCAGGTGCGGGCATGCTTGTTGTTGCTGTCATGCAGCTATTTGAGCGGGAATCTTTGGATTTGTCCTTCACTTCAGCCATAAAGAAATTACTGTCGTACATCCGAGGTTGTGCACCTTGGACCTGCCCTTACACTATTCCCCCCCCGAAGTCATTCACTTGTGAATGATGGTGTTGGAGATAATGTGAGTAGTGCATAAATAGAAATGAAAGGCGACAAGAATATTAAAGATGAGTTACAGAAGTAAAAATAAAGATAAAAATAAAAATCTGTAACTCTCATGTATATATGACCGTAGTCAATAGTATAAGGTAGGGCATCATGATGATCCTGCCCAAAGTAAAATGTGACAGAAATAATCAGAGCCATAGTCATGATAAAAGTAAAGAGCGGAGTCAGTGTGGCCAGAGCCATAATAAGAGGAGATGGCCAGAGTCATGGTGGCCGGAGCCGTAATAAAAAGAGATGATCGGAGTCATAATGTAACCAGGGTTGTGATGAGAAATGATCACCGGAGTCATGATGGCCGGAGCCGTAATAAAATATAATGACCGGAGTCATAATGGCCGGAGCCATAATAAAATATAATGACCGGAGTCATGGTGGCCGGAGCCAATGCAAAGCATGTGACACTGGGTCACTGTGGCGGTAGCCGAAGTGAAACGTGTGAAGGTGGGTCACTATGGCTGAAGCCGATGTTAAATGTGTAATGCAGGATTACTGTGGCCGGAGCTGAAGTGAAACGTGTGACACTGGGTCATTGTGGCCAAAGCCAAAGTAAAACATGTGACACTGGGTCACTGTGGCCGGAGCCGAAGTAAAACATGTGACACTGGGTCACTATGGCCGGAGCCGAAGTAAAACATGTGACACTAGGTCACTGTGGCCAGGGCCGAAGTGATAAGCATGACCGAAGACATCAGATCGGTTGCCGAAGTAAAATACTTGTGCAAAATGTAAAATGGACAAAAGTGAGTAAGGGTGTTGAAATGGGCTTAAGTGGGCCCGTCTAAGAAGTCTGACAAAGAGGCTGTACGTGACGCGACAGCTGCCCTCTGAATGACATGCGTAATAAATGCCGCTGTAAAGAGATAAATGCTGCAGTCCAACGGGCGGGTTTAAAAAATGAACCGTCAAGTTTGAAACGGTGCCGTTTGGGGTTAACCGTCGAATTCTAAACGGTGTTTCTGCAGTCGTTAGATGGAGTTAATCACAGCCGTTGAAGCGTATTTTGCCTTTGGTATAAAAGGCTATACTTCTGTAAAAAGGAGTTTTTTACTCTTGCGATTTTGCTGTCAAATTCTTGCTAAATCTTTGCGGTTTCGTGCGGTCTGCGCTTTGTTTGAGACGTCAACAACAGTTTTCCAAGACCAAAATCAGGTAATGTTTATGAATTTTTTATTTTGATTTTGATTTTGTCTAAGTGCTGTTCTCCTTTCTCCCTTTCTGTGCTTGATTTTGGGTTTTTTTGAAGGAAATTAGGGTTGGGAGTGAGAATGTATTGAGTGTGTTAGAATTTTTAAGGGTCCTGACTCCGTTCCTCCTCCTACTTTATGCAGAAATTGAGGAGATGTCTTCAGAAGGAACCATGAGTGTAGTGGGGAGTGAAGTGATGCCCCTGGATTATGGTAGTATGGATTCGGAGAGCAATCCGTCTCCGTCTAGTTCGGAGAGGACGGTGGAGGAAAGGGGGAATCGAAGGGTAGTAGAAGAGGAGGAAGATGAGATTCCCTCAAATATTTTGGAGGCTGGGAGTGATGTAGATGGGTGTTATGACCCAGAGTTAGATATAGTTTCTGAGGTGAGGGGATATGTGAGTGAACTGGGTAGCAGGGGTAGTCTTAGGGGCCTCGTGGGTAACTGTAACCTCCTTCACCATGTCCTAATTAGGCCTGCCGGGGTGAATGAGAGGGCATGCTCAGCACCCCGAGACCATTGGATGCCCTTACACGTCCATTATTTGATTGCGGGGCTTAGGTTTCCCATCCCAGAGTTACTGGTTGGGCTATTACTAGATTATAGCATAGGAATCACCCAGTTAACCCCAAACGCTATAAGGGTAGTAATAGGTTTTATAGTATACTATCGAGCTCGAGGTGTTGGGGTCCCCACTGTAAATATGTTCAAACATTTTTTCATTATAAAGGCAGGGGGTAGGAGTGAGAAGGGGTGGTATTACTTCGGTCCTCGGTCGTCCAGCAAAGGGAATAAGAGTTTATTCTCTGCTGGACCGTCATCCATCAAAGGATGGAAAGAAAAATTCTTCTTTGTGGATGACACCGAGTGGAGTAGGAGGGATGCCGAAGTGGAACAGTTGTCTGCTTGGAAAGCTAAGAAAACCAAGTAGAACAACTATAAGTTAAATGAGGATGAGGTGGAGGAGGTAGAAAAGCTGGTGAGGGAAGAAGGAGACGTAGTGAATATCATGTACCTCACCAGCCCGAAGGCAATAGAGGCTATTGAGCTCTATGGGCCAAGCTCATTGAGTGAAGGTTTGTGTATGTTTATATTGTGCAATTTTGGTGAGATTTTAGTTGGTGTGTTTTAACATTTATGTTTGTTTTGCAATTGAGATGGACAGGTTTATAAATGCTGCTGGGGGGCTGCGCATCCCAAAGAAGCCAAGGAAGAAGTCCAAGACTTCAACCGCGGTGGAAAAGGGGGGGTAGAGAGGGAGCAGCTGTCTAGCACTTTTGCCCGGGCTTCGGAGGTGCAGCCAAGGCCAGAGCCTGTGATGGGGGGCAGTGAGGATGTGATACCCCAAAATTTTCTAGAATATTTAAGTGAGTTAGGGACTTGTTTGAGAAAGAAATATTGTTTTGGGCTTAATAGCCAAAGTTTGAAAGTTGAGGGACTTAAAGAGGGAAAGAATTTGGATAAGGATGACTTCTTTTCTTTTTCTCCTTTTTCTTTCTTTCTTTCTTCTTCTCCAGCCCGATTCTGCTCTTCCTTTTAGTTCTTCCCGCTGCAGCCACCCGAAGAAAAAAAAAGGGAAACCCGGCACCAGCTTGAGGAACCGATGAGATAAGCTTGGTTTTGGCCTTCTTTTCTTGCTCTAGAACACAAATGGAACCCAAAAATTCTCCCCACCTACTGGAAATTCCGGATCTGCTCTATCCTTCCTCCCCTGTCCGCCTGCTGCCCCTGCTTTGTGGGGCGAATTGCTCGGTCTTTTTGGTAAGAATAGCTCGAATTCTCCCTTCTTTAGCTTTGAATTGCCTTGGGTTTACCTTAATTGCTCTTGTTCCTCCAATTTTGGGTAGACCCGTGAGTTTCCCCTTACACTGCCGCCGGCCTTCTTACCCAATCTACAGCTCCGGTTTTTACAGCTGGAGAATTATGGTATGTGACAGCCTTTTAAGGCTTAAATTGTCCATTTAGTTTGCTGCCTTATGTGTCCGAATTTTGCTAGAGAAATGAGGGAATTCCGGTAGCTTTAGGATGAGATTTAAGTATTAATTGAAGTGAGATTTATCTAATTGAGTGTTAATTGATTGTTGTGATTTTTGGAGAGAAAATCCCGTGCATTAGCTAGTGGTTTGAGCAATTTGTGGAAGTGGAGTTACTGTTCACGTCGTGGGTACTGTTCACGGCACTGTTCACAGATTACTGTTCACACACCGAGGGTCGACAATTTAACAGGGATTTAAATGATTAGTTTGTGATATAAGAACGAATTTGGAGATATTTGATTATGTGGAGATTGATAGAAATAGTATTGTGATTAAGAGTGATCATAATGATGATTTCAATTAAATTCGTCATAGTACGATATTAATTTCGGAATATTTTGATTAAGTTTCTGATTGTTCTATCAGTTAGCACTGAGACCGAGTCTTTGGTTTTGTGTGAGTGAGGTAAGTAAATTTATGGTAATGCCCATACAGTTTTTAAAAGCATGTTTTGATTTGTTTTTGAAGTGGTGGCGGGACTAAACCCATTTTATACAAAATAAATATGATTGATTTGAATCGAAAATTTTTATGATTTTTATGGATTTGAGCATGCCTACTTGAAGTTCATTTGACTGTCCTAATGATTTGAAAGTTATTTGTAAAGAATGATTTTCTGTTAACTTCTGCCTGTTTTGTCTCCGATGTGGTTATGTTCTTGTAACCCTGCTAGTGGGGGTTAAACGCTAGCACATGTCAGCACATGTCGATATGTTCCTGTTAGAACCGGTTCGTTCCTGTAACCCTGCTAATGGGGGTTATACACTAGTAATTCCTGTTGCCTGCCAGTGGGAGGTTTAAACACTGGCCATGACCTATAAAGGAGGCGTCTATTTCTTTCCCGTACTGTATCCGTTTTATTATACTGTTGGCATGCTACAATTTTAATTAAGGGCACTCCATATTTTACTTACTGAGTTTATCTCATAGTTTTTCCTTGTCCACCATTTCAAGAAGTGAAACCGAGGACGGGGAAACCACGGGAAGTGACGAGTTAGAAGGCTAGCCATTTCGAGATTGATATAGATTTAGATATAATCATGATCTTGTATTTGGAGATTTTAATTGGAGATTTATGATATCAGACAGTTTATAAAATTTGATCTTTAGATTTTGGTGATATCAGATTGTGATATGATTAAGTTCCGAGCCTTGTGCATTTGTGGGACCTGTCTCACGAGTGCACGGCGTCTGTCGCGCCTTGAATTTGGGTTTTGGGGCGTGACAGAGGATGCGAGCGAGGAGGTGCCACCGCTCCAGAGGAAGAAGAGGAAGGTGGTAGAGCCAGAAGCCAAGGGGGATGAGGTGGTTGAGTTCGTGCCTCGGCCTTCTCCTCCAGAAGTTGATGCTGAACTCAGGGAGAGGGAGGAAGCCGTGGTGCAAGGTCCTAGCAAAGGCAAGGAGCTCATCCCCCCTTCTTCGTTCCAGAAGAGTTTGTTCGAGGCAACAAACACCACTTGGGCGAAGCGATTTCTGAATGCTACTCTTCCAGAGGTGGATAGGAGGCGGGCAAGGGACGAGGTGGTGAGCCAGCTAGGGGCTACAGTTGTGGGGCATGCCTTGGAGGTATGTAAAGGAGTTGTAACTTATTCATGTTTTATTTTTGATTTTTTGACTTCTGCGTTTGAGGTCTGACTTCTGTTTGCATTGCAGAGTGCAAGCTGGACAAACGCTCTAGCGCAGGAGTACGCAGAGAGCGAGAGAGATCGTGCCAGCTTGCAGAGGCAGTGTGAGCAGCTGCAGAAGGAGAGGGAGGAGCTGCAGAAGGAGAAGGAGGAGTGGCAGAAGGAGAAGGAGGAGTGGCAGAAGGAGAAGAGGGAGATGCAGAGGAGGTTGGATGAAGTTCTTCCTTCAGTTACCGAACTCCAGAACGACAATGATGTCTTGAGCACGAAACTCGTTCTCAAAGAACGTAAGAGGAAGATCTGTGAAGAGAAGCTCGAAGCTCAAGACAAATATATTGAGAACATGAGGAAAGGAGCGGCGGAGCTGAAGAAGAACGTGAATCTGCTGGTTCACAACGGAATGGAGGAGCACATTGGCAACTTCCTCAACTCCAGCGTCTTCGAGCACATCATCAACCTGTACCGGTTACCAACCGCAATCGTGGCCTTCACCAACTGTAGAAAGAAGGTGAAGGCCCAGTACCCAGAGGTGGACGTGACAACGGTCACTTTTAGGGAACAAGAAGAAGGGGTGGAGGAAGATGGTGAGAGCCTCTCTGTTGACTTCCGGCCTCTGATCAAGCTGAGGTGGGAGCGTGACATAGAGGGGTGTACTATTTTTCCTCCAGCCTTTGATGCTAAGTTGGTGGCTGTGGGGGAAGAGGAAGAAGTGCCAGATGTTGGAGAGGAGAACCAGGCAATCCCAGCCGAAGTCCAGCCTCCTGAGGTGCATCCAGTCTCCTCTGATGAAGTGTAGCAGCTAGCTCCTCCTAAAGCAGAAGTGCCTCCTCTGCCTGTTGGAGATGAGCCTAGATCGCTGCCTCTCCCTACTGAGGAGCAGCCTCCTCCTCCAGCAGAGTAGCTTAGGTTTTTATGTCTTTTAGTTATTTTTGTAAAGGACATTTTTGTAATTGATGTGTTATTATTGTATAAAATTTTTGAAGTTTATTCTTGATGTTCAATTGTGGTTTCTAATTGCTGTTTTACTTTAAATGAATTACTTTGGATAAAAAGTGACTTTAATTAACACAAGGATCTGACCTCGGACACGATAAAATGAACAACAAGGGAATTGACCTCAGACATATATATGGGGCGGACCTCAAATATGGAAATGAGAAAAGACAAAGTAAATCACTTCAAAAGTAAAGTGTAATAAAATCGTATCCCAACAAATAAAGTGACTGAATAAGTCACAATGAATTAACTTCAAAAATAAGTAAAATCCACTTCCAACGTATATAAGGGTACAGAGAATTGAATCACTTCGAATGTGAAGCGAAACTCATTAATGAGATAAATGAATTGAGTTCGAATACACATTAGGTTGAGCAGAAGGAGTGAGAGTAATAACGATTAAGACAAAATTTACTTAAATGAAGTATATTTAAGGGTAAAACTTCTTCAAGTTATTGACATCGCAGACTCTAGGAACCCTTTTGCCTTTAGTGTCCCACAGGATATAAGCACCAGGGTGCGGCACTTTGGCTACAGTGTAGAGGCCTTCCCAGTTTGGTGCTAATTTTCCAAATCGAGTTTCAAACCCTGTTAGACCAGCTTTCCTAAGAACAAGGTCTCCTACTTTGAATGTTCGGGGTCGAACCCGTTTGTTGTAGAAGTTTGTTATTTTCTGCTTGTAAACTAGAGTTCGAAGTCGGGCTTCTTCTCTGACTTCATCAAGCAGATCAAGGTTCTCCCGAAGCAGTTGTCCATTTCGTCCTTCATCGAAATGGGTGACCTTGAAGCTCGGGACTCCTATCTCGATAGGAATGACTGCTTCGGTTTCAAAAGCCAGATGATAGAGTATTTCACCTATTTCAGTTAATTATAACTTTAGAATGCGCTTTATGCGTTATGCATATTTGCTCTAAGGTAAAACCGTAACAGAAGAAGTAAAATAATATAAAAATTAATCAAATAGGCCAGATTTGGAGTAATACCTGTGGCAGTTCGGCTCGTGGTTCTGTATGCCCAGAGGACGTTGTTGAGCTCGTCTGCCCATTTGGCTTTGTGCTATTCCAATCTCGGCTTTATACCTTCTAAAATGCATTTGTTAACAGATTCAACCATGCCATTGGACTTCAGATGGTAAACGGAGGTGAACTGCAATTTGATCCCGTAACTGGAACAGAAATCTCGAAAAGAGGTGCAGTTAAATTGAGTTCCATTATCAGCCACAATCTGACTCGAAATCCCATATCTGCAAATAATCAAGCTGAAGACAAAGTCTTCGACCTTCTTGGAGGTAAGACTGGATAATGCCCGAGCTTCAACCCACTTTGTGAAATAATCCACACCAACGATGAGATGGGTTACACCACCGACCCCTTTCACGAATGGACCCAAGAGATCCAGCCCCCACTAAGCAAATGGCCATGGTGCTACCAAGTTCATAAGCTCTTCTGCTGGTTGATGAGTCAGATGTGCAAAGAATTGGCACTTCGGGCATCTTTGAACAAAGTGAGTGGCATCTTTATACATGTTTGGCCAATAATATCCCTGTCTTTAGACTTTGTGAGTCAGAGTTCTAGCACCGACATGGCTCCCGCAGACACCTTCATGTACCTCCCGAAGTGCATACTCAGTTTCGTAGGGATTTAAGCACGGTAAAAGAGGAAGCGAGAAAGATCTCTTATAGAGGACCCCATCAATGAGTGTATATCGAGATGCTTTCTTCCTCAACTTCATTGCCTCCTGCCTGTCCTCAGGTACTATCCCGTTTTGTAAAAAGTGGATAATTGAGCCAGTCCAACTTGGCGTGTCAGGGTTTGTGCTATCATCCGTGGCTTCATGAAGCTTGGTTCATCTAAGACCTCCACAAAAATTGATCTGGAACTTAAAGAGCTATCAGAGGCAAATTTAGAGAGTGAATCTGCCTATTCATTCTCAATTCGGGGAATTTTGCTCAGATAGAATTTCTGGAATTTGCACTTCAGCTCAGCCACCAAGGCTACATATTTCACCATCATAGGATCAACGACTTCGCAGATTGAGTTGATTTGGTTCACCACCAGCTGGGAGTCACTGTATACTCGGATCACGCTGATTTTCAACTCCAATGCTAGTTGTAGACTAAGCAGCTGTAGACCAAGCAGCAGAGCTTCATACTCAGCCATGTTGTTTGTTGCATCGAAGTTAAATTTCAAGGCATGTTTACTTCGGTCTCCATCTGGACCAATCAAGAGAGCGCCAGCTCCTGAACTTTTGCTACTAGATGCCCCATCAACATATAAGGTCCAGTCGTTGGGCTCCGGATCAGGGGTTGAAGGACCTGGAGTGCACCAATAAAATTTGCCAGTGCTTGAGCTCGGATTGCAGATCTCTGCTGAAATGTTATTTCGAACTCCCCCAATTCTACCGCCCACTTAATTAATCTTCCGAAGCACTCCGGTTTCTGCAGAATCTGTCGAAGAGGTTGATCTGTGAGCACAATGATTGGGTGTGACTGGAAATTTGGCCTCAACTTCCTAGCCGAAGTGACAACTGCTAAAGCTGCTTTCTCAACTATAGGATATCTTGGCTCTGCTCCGTGCAACACGTTGCTGATATAATAGATTGGTTTCTGCTGCTTGGCCTCTTCTCTCACTAGAACCGAGCTAATGGCTTCATCTGAAATTCCTAGATACAAATAAAGAATCTCTCCATCTACAGCCTTAGTCAGCAGAGGTGGTGAGCTAAGATAAAACTTCAGCTCCTCGAATGCAGCTTGGCATTCTTCATTCCATTCAAACTTTTTCTGTTTGCCAGATTCATCCTTCT